GTCCACTCCTCTCTTAAAATCCTTTCCAAATCCTGAAGGTTTTGAGGTTGATGCTTGGCATCTGGAAGCTTCAGCTCCCTTCACAGATTTTCTATGGGATTAAGGTCCACATTTCTCTTCCTCCAAACACGGCTTGTCGAGTTGATGCCAAAGATCTCGATTATGGTCTCATCTGACCACATCATCTTCTCCCAAGCCTTCTCTGAATCATTCAGATGTTCACTGTCAAATTTCAGACGGGCCGTTCATGTTCTTCTGGAGCAAGGGGACGGTGCATGATCTGATCCATTATGGTGTAGTGTGTTACCAATAGTTTTCTTGGTGACTGTGGTCCCAGCTGCTTTGAGATCATTAACAAGTTCCTCCCGTTTAGTTCTTGGCAGATAGCTCACCTTTTTACATTACATTGCATTTAGCTGACGCTTTTATCCAAAGCGACTTACAATAAGTGCATTCGACCAACAAGATACAAACTTGAAGAAAACAGAATCATATAAGTACATCAGGTTTCATAGATCCAAAACATTTCAAGTGCTACTCAACTGGCTTTAGATAAGCCAGTCCTTTGTTAGTATATAAGTGCTTTGTTAGCAATTCTTTGTTAGTAATTCTTAGGGATGTCCCGATCCGATCACGTGATCGGGGATCGGAGCCGATCACGTGATTTTCACGTGATCGGGGATCGGGAGAAAAAAATCGGGGATCGGAATTTTTTTTTTTTTTTTTTTTTTTTTTTTTATAAAATATTTTTATACATTTTATTTAATGTTACAAAACAAAAATGACCATGTTCACGTCTTAAAGTCATCCTGAGGCCTTAGTTTTGGGTTAAAATTACACAACATCATGTATGTGTTGCTTCTTTTGGGCTTGTTTTCATAGACCTGGTTGCTTATTTCTCTCAAATCTGGCAACAGAGTGGGCGCAGTGTCTAATAGTAGCAGTAAGCTAACAAGAGGCTACGTTCAGCTGGTGACTCGGGAGTCGGGACAGAGAAAATGTCAGGAGTTTGGAAGTATTATAAAATTGAAAGCGAAGGCAGTGTAACAGCCAGATGCAATGTTTGCAAGGCGGAGGTTCCGCGTGGTGGAAAGAACAGAGCTACGTTCAACATGACCAATCTAATACAAACACCACCAACAACAACACGACGAGTACACAGCGGCCACTCAGGTAACGGCACTGAAACAACCGACACTTTCAGAGACTTTTAAAAGGAAAGAGAAACTACCCCAGAACAGTGAAAAGGCCAAAAAAATAACAGCCAAGATAGCTGAATTCATCGCGTTGGATGACCAGCCGTTATCTGTTACATTTTTTTTCCTCTTAATGCATTGCATAAAGATCGGATCGGGAAAAATCGGTATCGGCAGATTGTCAAAATCAAATGATCGGAATCGGATCGGGAGCAAAAAAAGGTGATCGGGACATCCCTAGTAATTCTATAGCTCGAAGTGAAGTCGAAAGAGATGAGTTTTCAGTCTGCGTCTGCATCTGAAGATGTGCAAGCTATCTGCTGTCCTGATTTCTCATGATCATCAATACCCCATGGGGCGAGATCTTGTGTGGAGCCCCAGACCGAGGGCTATTGATGCTCATTTTGTCTTTCTTCTATATTCCGAATAATCGCACCAACAGTTGTCTCCTTTTCACCAAGATGCTTTCTGATGGTCTTGTAGCCAATTCCAGCCTTGTGCAGTCATTAGAGGGTGTGGACCTCAGGGAAAATCTTGTCTCTGAGGTCCATAGACAGCTCTTTAGTCTTGCCCATGGTGGAAAGGTTGGAATCTGATTGATTGATTCTGTGGACAGGTGTCTTTTATACAGGTAACACATTGATATTATGAGTACTTTCCTAAAGGAAATATACTTATGTAACCATCTCTGGGAGCCAGAATGCTTGTTTGTTGGGGATCAAATACTTATTTCCCACAGTTAAATGCAAATTGATTTTGATCTTTTATATAATGTCAATTTCTAGATTTTCTTTTTGATATTCTTGCTCTCACTGTTTATATAAACCTACCATTACAATTATAGACTGTTAATTTCTTTGTAAGTAGGCAAACTTACAACATCTGCAAGGGATCACATACTTATTTCCTCCACTGTATATATGTAGATATGTATATATAGAAGATTGTATACATATATGTACTGTGATGAATTATCAGCTTATTTGATTTGATTTGATTAGATTTATTCCGAATGTGTAAAACAATAATACAAACATTTAACATGCTTATAAAGGTAGAAACAAACATGTTCATACTGTGATGTGTACAGAGTTGGGTGTAACACGAGTTGGGTGTAACACGTTACAAAGTAACGCGTTACACCCAACTCTGTTACAAAGTAACGCGTTACTGTAATAATATTACTTTTGTCGGTAACAGAGTAATGTAACACGTTACTTTTATAATTCAGTAATCACACTACAGTTACTAACATTGCCCGACACGCGTTACTTCGTTACTTTTATAAAATCAGTAATCACACTACACCTACAGTTAGCCTACTAACATAAAGAATGACTAGATTCTCCCAGAGCCGTGGATTCTCCCTTTGACAGACAAGAGGGATTTCCGCCGCAGGAAGCTTTTATCCACTGCTGCAAACACAACATCAAACCTCAACAAGCACCTGCAAAGACATCATGCTAACGTGAAGCTAATAGCTAAGGACCCCCGAACCCAGAGTGAGGATGTAAACAGGCCCGCCCCCTCCCGCTCCCTCCGCAAAATGAAGCACCCTCCGCAGTCTGCATGATCTGCCTGTAGGGAGGGGCGGCCCTGCAAGTAAAGTAACGAGTAATGTAACGAGCAATGTAACGAGTAAAGTAACGCGTTACTTTATGTAGAGAGTAACAAAGTAAAGTAATATATTACTTTTTTAAAAGTAATATGTAATATATTACTTTTTTTGAGTAACGACCCCATCTCTGGATGTGTACAGGTAAACTATGTGTAGTAAAATAAATGTATTTACTGTGATGTGTACATCCATATAAAGGACCGTAACATATATATAAATGTGAGTAACCAATACAAGAAAAGTTGCGATTGCTTTAACTTCCTTGCAAACGGGGGAGATTTTACAGATGCTTGCATAAACAACATAGCCATTGATAATAGGGCGGTAGTAAAACGATCTTACAGGATTACGTAGAACATAAACCAAATGAGATATACCCGAAGACAAGAGATAACATCAAGAGATGGCAGATGAGGAATGTTGGAGCGCAATATGACATGTTCTGCAGGAACATCGCAATCCTTTCTCAACATCTCATATGTCTGTTTTTCACTCAGAAAGTGAGAGTGAAATAAAGGAAAGTAACTATATACGTACTTATCGGTTAGGCTTTATATTTATAGCACATTACACAAAGTTACAGAGTACTTCACACAGGTGCAACATATGAAATAAGAAGGAGACACTACAATATAAAACACAGTGCAATAAAAGAAGAAAAAGATTAACGTTTATTAATTCAGTTTTTCACTCTGGCTTGAATTATTTTATTTTTTTCCTACACTCACACACACACACACGCACACACACACACACACACACACACACACACACACACACACACACACACACACACACACATACACATACACATACACATACACACACACACACACACACACACACACACACAGTATACACACTATACAGAATACACATGCACATGCAATCAAGAGAGAACCAAATCAAATGGCAGGGTTAAAGATTAATCAGGAGGCCTGTAAAGATGGGTTTAAACAAGCAACCTAAAACTGTTAAAAGATTCTGAAAAATAAACCCAAAAATTTGATTTGAAGGTTGGGGAAGATAATTACAGAGGGTTGAGGGCTAAAACTGCAAAAGTGTGATCACATTAAAGTCGAAGCTGGGTATCAACAAAAGACCAATGTTTGAGAATCATAGTGAATAAGAATGAGGAATGAAAAAAACCGAGAGTAAGGACAGGATTGCGTTAATTATTAACGTTACAGGAAGACAAAGCAGGAAATGGCTAGTTCTTCTTAATGGAGCGCTGCATGCATGACGTATTTTATGTTTAACAGACCAATAAACTGATAGTCAGTGTTTAAGCGGAGGGAAAAAAAGAGTGTGTTTGATCAGCATAACAGTTAATCAACATTTCATCAAAAGCTTTCTCTGTGCCTCCAGCTGCTTTCTTTTGCCTCTCCTTAATGTGACAGAGAGGAGCTTAGCATAGCAATAAAGGAAGATACCTACATTTCAAGAAGTGATGCAGCTAAGATGAAAGACGAAAGAAGAACAATTTGGATTTCACAATTGTTAAGTCAAGAGATGTGAGGAGGAAGTGTTTTATTAGTGATAGATTGTTATTGCATTTGCATGTTGACCAATCCTGTAAACTAGAAAAAAGGCATTTTTATTATTTGTGTAGTTCTAGTTAATTAAGTCTTGCAGTGATGACATTTTTGTAGTGGACTCTGAAGGCAGCATCTACCTGGATCCCTCCACACAAAGCCAATGGGATTTTGGATTATTGCAGAAAATATGGGGAAAAAAATGGAAGTGTAATATTATTTTTAATAACATTTAATTCATGGATTGTTTTTGCATTTGCACATTGACCAATCCTGCAAATGGTAAAAGGGTTATTTTGACTGCATACCAACTTATTTTGACATTTTCCCTGCATTCAGTACATTTAATGCAACAATGTCAGTTTAAAGCACTCTTATACAACAATAGTTTTGCTCATGGTTTCAATTCCTTTACATTCACAAATACAACAATAGGTCCACATGCTGCCAGCAAACATTATTTTTCATGAAAAGTTTTGTTGTAGTTGTGGGCGTTTTCATTAAGGCATTGTCAAATGTTGTGGAACCAGTTTTGCAGCCGGCTTCTTCCTAAAGATCGATTTCATAACTTGGCAGGAGGGGCCATGGCCAGGTGTGTATATATTGATGCTGCAGGTGGATGTGAGCAGCAGATGTGAGACAGAGGTGGATTTGGGAAAAGATGGCCACCGCTCTGCTGCTCCTGCTTCAGCTGGTCTCACTGGCGTCTGCATCACATCACTACGGGGGAACCGTGTCCTTCAGCTACAAAGGAAGAAACCCTGATGGATCATTTAGGGTGAGAGAAACTACTTTTAAACCCATGCATCAGTTAACAATTAACTAATGTATTCATACTATTGCCGTTGTTATTTTATTTGGGTTTGATTACTCTGATTGTGCTTGTAGAATATGACTATTTTGTCTAATATATTTAGCCTTATTTTTTCCTGCAACTATGTTTTCAAAATGTTCACCTTGATTTTCATCTTTTGAAGGTCGTTGAGTTCATCAAAAAGATGCGTAATCGATTTGAGTAATAATAATAAAGACATATTTACACTAATTGATGTTATTTATGAAATACATGAAACCTTTTTGGAGGAAGATTAGGGCCACATGTGATTTATTTTTATTTTCGATCTGACTAAAAGTGCTTTTTTTCAAATGCTAAAGTCATAATTCTGAGGAAAGAAATCTACATCTGGAGAAAAAAATCTGAATTCAGAGAAAAAAGTCAGGAAACTGAGAAAAAAATTCAGAAGTCTGAGAAAAATTCTAAAAAGTCTGAATTCTGTGAATGGGCCGATTGTTCAAGCCCTTATTACGACCAAATATGTTGTTTGTTCAAGCGCTTAATACGTCCTATAATTACATTTGAAAGTTTTCGCCGTCGAGTGCTCCCGTTGAATCCTAATGTTACAGATGGTCGTTTATTCACAAATAACCCTCTCTGTAAAATCCTAAATTGTAGGATAGTTTGGCCATTAAAACGCTTTTTGATTAGATTTCTAGCGAGAAGTGTATCTTGTACTTTTAGAATCCACGTCCAGACGATATGTAGGATCTATAGTTTGATAGATATTCACGGGTAAAGTCACGGGTTGAAAACAGTATTTCCGGTCTCGACGTTTTCATAATAAAACCAATGATCAAATGATTTAACAGTGATATCTGCAGTACTTATCAACTAAAAAACATCAGTTTATCCTTGTTAATTATACAACATTTATTGGTTTAAATTGTGTACAATGCTTTTGTGTTTTTCCCATAGGTTTATTTGTTTATTTGTGAATAAACGTCCCTCCGGAGCGTTTGCAATGAACGGACCGGGAGCATGTTGTTTCTTACACGACCACTAGAGCACCTCTAGTGATCGTGTAAGAAACAACAAACACTTGAAAACGTGTCTCTGGGTCGTAATAAGGGCATGAACAATCGGCCTATATGGTCGTTTTTTGTAGGAGGACAGGCTGCTTAATTTTATTGCATCTTTCAACTGTAGTTTAGTCGGTGCTGGTTATCCTCTTTACCTTTTTCTGATGTGTATTTTATACTTTCACTGTTATGATTAGGGATTTCATTGCCTTTTACAATTCTCAAGAACCAATAAGTGACTTACATGTAAGCATATTGCAACATTATTGGTTTTACTTTTTGTTTAACGTATGCTTTATTTGACAAAGGCAGAAAGACTTTCAGAAAGTACAGAGATAAAAAAAAGATACATGCCTTTCTTAAAATTGGCAGTATTGTATAATTATATTACTGATTTTTACAAAATAGACAAAATGTAAATTAAAAAAGTTAACTTCAGTAAAGCATCTAACTATATATATGTTTTTTTCAAAGGTGGACTTTCGAAACAGGGCGACCTATGATGGGTGTCAGTATTCCCATTCCTGGAGCTGTTACAACAACAACTGTGGCTTTGTCACTAATCAACAGAGAGGCACAATTGACAGGAGCACCAATGCACCGCAATTTAACAGACAATGGTGTGAAACAGAAACAGTTCAACAAAGAAAAGTCCCAACTGACAAACCGTTTCAGATGAGGTGAGCTGTTTCTTGACTCAAATCATGCTAATGTTATATTTGTGGAGTCTCCAGAATTGCATTGCAAACATAACAAGAGGCAGCTGTAAGATGCAGTATTTCAAGAGTTTTGTTTCCACACCTATCAGGGCAAGTAGCTGTTGTTGGACCAAAACACGAAACAGAGTTTCAGGTTGGAGACTTCTAACTCAAGTAGATTTGGGAACAAGATCTGACACTGGCAAACCAAACAGATCCCCAGACATTGCCATTCTACCTTTCCTACGGTAAGTTCCCTGAAGTAAGCATGAAAGGTTTTGTCTAACCTTTTATTATGTTGTTGAATAACCTTTTTAGTTCCCCCCAATGGCAGTAAAAGAAGACACTGTGGACGTTAGCCTTGAAAGTCCATAAATACCAGAATCAATGGGATTGTATTCCAACAGTATGTCTAAAGAAATCACTAATGACAATGGAACCATTCAGAAAATCCGTACTTTGACTACATATGTGCTTGTAGCTCATGTAATATGACTTTTCCCCCCATCTTTCCATGAAGAAAGAACAAAAAAAATGCAACCAAACCAATAAAATACACTTTTTAGTTGTTCTTATAATTTATTACAGTCAATAAATTCACTGTCTTTATATTACTTCTTGTATTTGTCTATCTACTCACATGTGCAGCCATAACTCTGATGATTTGTGTATGGGATTATGGGCAGAACAGTGTTTCTCACTCTTCTTAATGTGTCCTTTCAAGAGTTCCCCAGAACTGCCCACGGACCTACAAGCTGATGTCCTTCGACCCTGATGGCGACACAGTTCGCTGCAGATATGGAAATATCAGAAATATAGAGTGCAGCGGATGTAACCAACCTTCAGGCTTTGTCTTGGATCAGGTTTGTAAAAGAACAAATAAATGTCCTCATGCATTTTCCAATACCTGACTGAGCCTTTGCCTCACTAAATGTCTGAATGTTTACATTGTTAGGGTTCCTGCTCCTTATATTACCGCAATGCCAACACCGACCCAAGTGTTTTTGGATTTGAGTTGGTGGTGGAGGACTTCCCGCAAAGGCCCATCTCTCTGTCCTACACCGATGGAACCCAATCCTACAAGGCTCCACTGATTCCCATGAGGCATAAACGAGCCCAACAATGGTGGGGGCTTCATCATGCCACTCCAGCACCAAACACGACTGAAGTGCCAACGCCAACCCCATGGTGGTGGCATCATAATCAAACTCCAGCACCAACCACGACTGAAGTGCCAACCCCATGGTGGTGGAATCATAATCCAACTCCAGCACCAACCACGACTGAAGTGCCAACCCCATGGTGGTGGAATTATAATCCAACTCCAGCACCAACCACGACTGAAGTGCCAAACACAACCCCCTGGTGGTGGCTTCATCGTGCAACTTCAGCAACAACCACGACTGAAGTGCCAACCCCAACCCCATGGTGGTGGCATCATAATCCAACTCCAGCACCAACCACGACTGAAGTGCCAAACACAACCCCATGGTGGTGGCATCATAATTCAACTCCAGCACCAACCACGACTGAAGTGCCAACCCCATGGTGGTGGAATTATAATCCAACTCCAGCACCAACCACGACTGAAGTGCCAAACACAACCCCCTGGTGGTGGCTTCATCGTGCAACTTCAGCAACAACCACGACTGAAGTGCCAACCCCAACCCCATGGTGGTGGCATCATAATCCAACTCCAGCACCAACCACGACTGAAGTGCCAACCCCAACCCCATGGTGGTGGCTTCATCGTGCAACTTCAGCAACAACCACGACTGAAGTGCCAACCCCAACCCCATGGTGGTGGCATCATAATCCAACTCCAGCACCAACCACGACTGAAGTGCCAAACACAACCCCATGGTGGTGGCTTCATCGTGCAACGTCAGCAACAACCACGACTGAAGCGCCAACCCCAACCCCATGGTGGTGGCATCATCATACTACTACCACACCAACCCCACGTCTGACATCAGCCTCACTCCCACCCACCACAACCAAACCGCGGCTGCATACATCTCCAACCACAAAAGACAACCGGCCCATGCATGGCACCACGCCTCCTCTCAGTAAACTGCCTTTGCAATTCTCCTTTCTTGGTGAGTCAGGTTTTACTTGTCCTAAATGATTAAATCCATACTCACAGCAAAGCTGTTGCTGCACTGGCTTCAATGGGTGTAGAATGTTATGTACTTCTTGCAACTCAAGTGACAACTTAATGTGCAACGTCCTGTACTAAGAAGAAGGTACATGTTCTAAACCTGTATAAAGACTGTTTAGTTCTTCTGAAAACCCTAACCCTAACCCTATTCCGCCCAAAATATCAGGAAAGAAATAAAAAAATCATATAACCTAAAGCTGCAGGTATTTCGCCTTTGACAGCTAATTAATATAATCTGCTGTGACAGCTTTGATATTTGAGCCACAGACAATTAGAAAGTGGTTTTAAAAACTGATCAAGAACAATTTTTTTTAACTGCAGTGGACCCACCTGCTCCCTCATGTGTTGATGGACTCTACTTGCCAACGTTTGTGCACCCAACACCTGAAAATGGACAACACATCAATGCAGAGGTCAACAAAGAAGTGGAGATCAGAGTTCGAGCACAAGCTTCACATGCAACGTAAGTGAGAATCAAGGTGATGAGTATTGCGAGTGAGATAACTTCAGCGATAAGGAGGAAATATCTGGTTTCTTTCTTTTGTTTTCACACAGACTACATGATATCATCATCAGTGGGCCACTGAATATCAGAAAGCACAGAAGCACACGTGGAGACTTTGTCATTAGGTGGACGCCTGGCCCTGATGATGTGGGGGATCATTACCCAATCTGCTTTGCTGTTGAATCAGTAATTGAGTGAGTGAACCTTAAATTCATTTTCTATTTGATACATTTAGTGTGCATGTGTGTGTGTGTAATATTGATTTCACTTTTCACACATTTTACAGTCCCGCCACCTATCAAAAGGACCATGTCCACGTCCCACAATCTCCACAGTAAGTAACAGTTTTCTTTTTTAATCAAAATAACAAATTAGGATTTAAAATAATAGAGTCAGAAGCAAATGCCTCCCTAAAAAAAGATAAAATGATTCTAGATAAATCTTCACTGATGCTTTTCAGGTCCGGAATCTATCAGTCCGAGATGAGGTGCGTTCTGGTGAACATCGGTAAAAGGCTAAGTAAGAACGATTTTTGTTTAACGTCAACATTTTAAAGTAGAACTACAACTTTTATTATATTTTAACCAAAATGCTAAATTCCATTAGTGGCTTCATCGACTTTTGCAAAGCTGATGTGTTTGTGTAGAATCTTAAACAAAACTACTGCCACCTGTAGACTAGAACCATTAGTGTAATGTGTATTTATTTTGTAACCTATTTATCTCTTGCTCTAGTTGAATCCCATGTGACCTGCCATGAGTCCTCAATGACGGTAGAGGTTATCAGATCTTCTCTCCCTGGACTTCATGAGGATCATTTACGCCTCAATGACCCCAGCAACACGGCCTGCAACCTGCAGAGGAATTCCAACATCACGCACATCATTGCGGTCGTACCCCTCAACGCCTGCGGCACTCAGATCGAGGTAACAATCGGGCATCTGTTTCATCACCCGCCGGGTTTTTCTCTAAACTATTGTTGCTTTTTATTAGGAGTTTGATGATTGAACAATTAGAGGGGAAACGCCATGAGGGCCATAGGGTTTTTTCGGGACATGGTCTTAAGAAATAAACGAAAGTAAAATGACACGTTTGACATTAAAGCATGTAAACAGGTTATAGTAGAAACCCCAAATACATGTATGAACTTGAACACAATATGTCCCCTTTAACTCTGCAGGAAGATGAGGAAAACTTGGTTTTCAAAAATGAAATCACCACGGTGGACAGCGTACACGACCTGATCACCAGGAACCATCTGCTGGAGGTCCAGTTCTACTGCCAGTACCCCAAACGTGGGAACGTGTCGCAGGGCTTCACAGCACACAGGAGGAATGTGGTGGTGTGGGATAAAGGCTTCGGAAAGTTCACCTATGAGTTTGAGTTCTACCCAGACAGCCAATATAGACAAATGATTGATCCAGCGCTGTACCCTCTGGAGTACGATGTGAAGAACAGGATCTACATGCAGATAGAGGCCAAATCTACCGTCAACAACACCCAGCTGTTTGTGGAGTCCTGCAGCGCGGCGCCGTATGACACCCCCAACTACTGGCCAACATACTCCATCATCGAGAATGGGTAGGCATGAGCACGCCATCTAGTGGCATATCTTTACCAATGCATACATTTACCATTGCATTGGTTTTCTTTCATAAGAGAGGTGTGTAACTAAACTGCCCGTAGGTGTGAATGAGATGTTTGTAGGCAGTGGATTTATATGGGAATTAATCAGGCAAACACATCCATCTGCAGTCCTTTTATTAATTCAAAATAATAAAAACGATGCATGGTATGCATTGTTTTTGGTCTACTTTGCTTTCATAGTATGTTTCGAAAAAGGTTAAAAAAGGTATCTAAAAATACACTTAAAGGATGAAATGTGGCTATTTGTGTCTGAAGATTTCCTTTTAATACATCAGACACCACATGTATTACTGTTTGTGAGGCATGGAGAGAGACGCATTATTTCTTACATCTTTTTTTTGTTTTGCTGTTAGGTGTACTGTTGATCAGACGGTTCAAGTGCATTCGAAGGCCAACCCCAGAGAGTTCAGGTTCAGCATGGAGGCCTTCCAGTTCATCGGCTTGCACGACCAGGTGAAGAATGAAATATGAGGTTATACTCTGGTGGAGGAACCTCTCTGATCTTTTACTTAATAAAAATAAACAATGCCACAGTTTAGGAATACTCTGTTGCAGGTAAAGTTCTGGCATTCAAAATGTTATTTAAGTCAAAGTATTGTGGTGTTTCTGACAACAACTCTGCTATTCTGAGAGAAGTCTGTATATCTGCTGATGTAATGACAGTGTGTTGTGTTTCGTTCAGGTGTACATCAGCTGTTCAGTGCTGATGTGTGAGGCAGGGAGCAGCGGCACCAGGTGCTCACAGGGGTGCATCAACTCCCCCCTTACTGGGCATCATAATCACCGCAAGAGAGAGGCCATCACTCAGAGCGCCAGACACTTCATTTCCCAGGGTCCTCTGCGTTTGAAGAGATCAGCGGAGAGCACCGGGAGCCCAGGTACGTTTTCCATCAGAACACCTGCCTACTTTGAGGCTACGGTTGAAAAGTGAAAATCAGGTCCTATGTCTTTTCCTAACCACTTTTCCTTCAGGAAATATGTGAAAGAGGATTCATCAGGACTTAGGAAAAGAGATTCCACTGACACTGGCAGACTCTTATGTTACCATACAGCTGACTACTCAGAGCGCATCTTTGGCTCTGTGTATTTTTATCATGTTTTTCGGACTTTATAAACGTACAGTACAACTTGTTTGGATTACACTTCTACATCTACTCCAACTACTACACATGGCCTACACATCTACTCCTAAATTAGAATTGCATTTAAAGAACTGGGGTTTCCTGGTGAAGTGGAGATATAAAGCTGAGTATCATCAGCGAAAAACTGATATTTTACATTATCATGGTTAATTATGTTGCCAAAAGGAAGCATGTAATGTAAATTGTAATGTAAATAGGTGGTGATGTGAATATGTTGTGCAGTATGTACATATATAATGGCTTATCAGCTTAAATACATGTGATAAAACACATGTGTACAGGTATGCAGTTAGTATAATTAATTGTATATACTTTAACATGTACAGGTATATAAAGGGTAGTAAAATAAATGTATTTACTAGCATGTGTTCATCTATATATAGGCTAGTAATATGATTATGTGAGTAACCAATACAAGTAAAGTTGCAACTGCTTCAACTTTCTTAAAACACTGGGGATTTAACAGAGGCAATGAACGTAGCCATTGAAATGTAATACTGTTGTAACTTGTTTGGCCTACACATCTATTCATATGAAAATTACCATTCGAACATGTTTATTTAAACATGCATAGATTAAAAAACACAACTGGGTAAACATTGTTAAACTTAATTAAATCATTTTACAGTAGTTAGCATAGTTCTCCTTTTGGTTTAACATATTGTTGAATGTTACATAAAAGCACTTTGGCAATATATGACATAAAAACATATGATATATAATATTGTAAAATACCTAATAAGCACAGTAACTGACATGATCTGAGTTTTTCTTCACGATTGGTTGTTTCTGTGGACAGCCGAATGTTGACATTTAAATTATGCTTCTGTTTTCCTCCAGGGACCCCCATGAATCTGAACCTGGTGTTCATCGTTGGATGTCTTCTTGCAGCCGTTGGCATGATCAGTGCAGTGGCCCTGTACAAAGTCAAAGCATCAAAGATCAAATACCAACCGTTGGCCTCTTTTGAAAACTAAAAAAAGCGGCTAGTTGAGAATATCCATTTATTGTTCCTGAGGTATGGGTTAGAAGTGGTTTTAATTGTGGTATTAACCACTGTTTACTGTTTAATCCCATATGGCTTTACAAGTGATTGTTCTTTCATGTACTGCATTATGATTTAAAACTTGATTGAAATGTGTGCCGCCCAATCATAATAATGCTAAATGTCATTATTACATTTTCAGCCTTAACGTCAAGTCATTTATGCTTAAGGTCTCAATAAAAACATATTCTCTTAAATCTTCTTTTTGCTTTTGTCCAATTTACTATCTTTTTCTTCTGCACATAAACAAACACATCTTGGATAATCTGGTTTTAAGTTAGTCAAAAATAAATGTTTCTTTACTGAACCTCATTATGTTTTAGAAGTCGTGCAGCAACCGATCAAATGTTAAAGGAGAGGTGTCATGGCCATTTCCACTGATCATAATTCCATTGTTGAGGTATACTAAAATAGATTTATATTGTGCAATTTTCCAAACTCACATTGGTTTCTCATACAGCATCTCTGTAAACTACTTGTATTCACTGAATTTCACTCTCTGCCTTTAACGGCTCGTTGTAGCTCCAATAGCTCCAGCCCCCACCCTCCCTGTGAGCACAGTGTGCTCTGATTGGTCGGGACGTTGTGAATCGTGCTGAGCTCCGTGGAGGTGTTGTTTCCTTGTTTAGGATACATAGCGAAACACAGCCAAATTCATCCTGAGCACACACAAACTCACAGTCGAAGTAAAAACAATAAGTGTGGCTTGATATTGAGTAAGAAAAAGGTTGATAAACGCTGTGAGAATGGGTCTGCAGAGAGCTTGACATCATGCCGTACCCGGAAGAATCAAATGGACAATGACGTATCTCCAATGAGGCGTTTTGGGGAGGTATTTTCTGTGTTAGAGTTTTACTCGCTACAGGGTGTACTTTAAGGGTTTTGACTCTGCACACCGTTTACATGCATAAAAACCTTCAAAACACACAAGGGGACGGGTAATAACCGGAAAAGCATGACACCTCTCCTTTAACACCTGCAGTAATCATTAAGTAATGAATGTGGTGGAAACTTCTGAAGCAATGGAGATGAAACTCGGAGTTAAGAACCATAAAGCAGCCTCACCAGATTGATTGTGTGACTTGGCTATGGCTGTAAAGATGGGTTTGAAAAAACAGCTTAAAACAGTCAAAATATTTGGTCAATTTGACTGGTTGAGGAAGATTATTACCGAGGGTTTGGGACTCAAACAAAATAAGGTAATGTTTGGTATGATAACGTTAAACAGCAGCTTGACTGTATAAGTAATCACAACAGTGATCAAATGAATGACTTAATAGACGCTTTTATCCAAAAGCAACTTACATACATTTAATACTGTGGGCCATCCCCACTGTGGCAATTTGGTGTGAAGTGTCTTGCCCAAGGACACAGGTGAATGTTTACTGCAGCGTGATTTGAACCAGTGTCCAAATGTTTCACCCATTACTATAAGGAAGATGAGAAGAGAAGTTTGAATCACTTGATTTGGTTTTCTAGTAACTTGATAAATATGGCCGGTTTGCAATGTCAAACAACACCAGACCTGAGTCCTGGTGGAAAATAAGTGGCTATTGTTCCTCCTGTCAAGTTATCACCTTCATCTATTGAATCAGACCAGTTGCATAACTGGTTCCACAACATTTCACTGTAAATGCTTGAAAACACCCACAACGATAACAAAGCATAACATTTGAGCATAACATTTGATGATAAAGAACATTTGCTGGCAGCGTGTTGACATATTGTTGTCATTGCGAATGCTAAGGAATCGAAACCGTAGGCACATCTATTATTGTGTAAGAGCACTTTAGAATGACCCCGGTGGCCTCAGGCCGGGACTCTTGTCTGGCGTGTCAATTTTGGAGCAGATCAGACAATGTTTAGCCAATGTTTAAATCATCTAAAATGAGCCGTTTCTCATTTTTCTGATTTCCTCCTCCTCGCCTCCTCGCCTCCTCGACTCCTCGACTCCTCGACTCCTCGACTCCTCGGTCCTCCGGTAGTGACCCGGAAATCGATGTCAGCGCGCCATCTTGAAGGACATCTAATTTCTCTAAATGCACAGAGCCCGAGGGGGGGTCGCAAGGTTTTTTTTTTTTAAATGACAATTTATTTTAAAATATTATTATTATTTGTATTATTATTATTATTATTATTATTATTATTATTATTATTATTATTATTATTATTATTATTATTATTATTATTATTATTATTATCATTATTATTATTATTAATAACGTGTGCATAGACATTTTTCAGGGGCGGACTGGTCATCAGTAGAATTTCCCCGCAGCGAGGTTACCCCCCGGTTGACAATTCACTAGCACCCCCCTTCCGTTGGGGGTCGCCAGTCTCTGGCACTGTTATTTTGGGGGTCGCGGGTTGAAATGTTTGGGAACCCCTGCTCTATATGACCCCCATGTGACCTGACCATGGATTGTCATGAGCAAATGACAGCACCAGAGAACGATAAGCGGTGGGCATTAAGAAAGAGTTTAGTCTCCTTGCGGGGCCGTGATGAACTCCTCCCTGTTGGGTGGCAGTTTCCGATGCTCGGAAAGTTGTGAAATTTACACGGACGTCAGGTCTGGTGCAGAAAAGAAAAAATGCATTGGAATTGCTCAAAAGTTGAAAGCTGGCTGTCTAGCGCCCCCTATGAAAATCAAATATTCGAACAATTCTGAAGCGTGCAACCTAAGTCCGATTGACCTGAAATTAGGCACACATATCCGGCTGGAGCTGCTCTACAAAAAAGCCTCAAGAGCCCCTAAGCTCCGCCTACTTATATGTTGTGCTAATTAGCATAATGCTAAAAACAGTTAAATATGTATCTAAATCTCTATGTTTTGTCTATTAACACACCACATTTGTCATGCATCATCAGCGGGGGGTCAAATATGTATCCATAAGAAATGTGCAAGGTCAGTACAAAAACATGGCCGCCATTAATCAAAACGTCTTTGCAAAAAGGCATGGCATAGAAAGAAATACTCATAACTTATCAACGATTTATCCAATTATCACACATTTTGGTGGATATGTTCAGTTTGTCTTGGAAGATAGGCATACCAAAGCATTTTCATCCTGGTCCATAGGGGGCTGGATTTGTTTTATTAAAACAGCTCAGTAGTAGTGTTAATTTCGTCAGCTATTTTTTAATTTAGTTTTAGTCTTAGTCCTGTGTTCAATTTGCTTTTTAGTTTTAGTCATATTTAGTCACCTTCATCCTGTTTTCATGTCATATGATTTTCCCCCCCATCTTTCCATGAAGAAAGAACAAAAAAAATGCAACCAAACCAATAAAATACACTTTTTAGTTGTTCTTATCATTTATTACAGTCAATAAATTCACTGTCTTTATATTACTTCTTGTATTTGTCTATCTACTCACATGTGCAGCTATAACTCTGATGATTTGTGTATGGGATTATGGGCAGAACAGTGTTCCTCACTCTTCTTAATGTGTCCTTTCAAGAGTTCCACAGAACTGCCCACGGACCTACAAGCTGATGTCCTTCGACCCTGATGGCGACACAGTTCGCTGCAGAAATGCAAATATCAGAAATATAGAGTGCAGCGGATGTAACCAACCTTCAGGCTTTGTCTTGGATCAGGTTTGTAAAAGAACAAATAAATGTCCTCATGCATTTTCCAATACCTGACTGAGCCTTTGCCTCACTAAATGTCTGAATGTTTACATTGTTAGGGTTCCTGCTCCTTATATTACCGCAATGCCAACACCGACCCAAGTGTTTTTGGATTTGAGTTGGTGGTGGAGGACTTTCCGCAAAGGCCCATCTCTCTGTCCTACACCGATGGAACCCAATCATACAAGGCTCCACTGATTCCCATGAGGCATAAACGAGCCCAACAATGGTGGGGGCTTCATCATGCCACTCCAGCACCAAACACGACTGAAGTGCCAACGCCAACCCCATGGTGGTGGCATCATAATCAAACTCCAGCACCAACCACGACTGAAGTGCCAACCCCATGGTGGTGGAATCCTAATCCAACTCCAGCACCAACCACGACTGAAGTGTCAAACACAACCCCCTGGTGGTGGCATCATAATCCAACTCCAGCACCAACCACGACTGAAGTGTCAAACACAACCCCCTGGTGGTGGAATTATAATCCAACTCCAGCACCAACCATGACTGAAGTGCCAAACACAACCCCCTGGTGGTGGCTTCATCGTGCAACTTCAGCAACAACCACGACTGAAGTGCCAACCCCAACCCCATGGTGGTGGCATCATAATCCAACTCCAGCACCAACCACGACTGAAGTGCCAAACACAACCCCCTGGTGGTAGCTTCATCGTGCAACTTCAGCAACAACCACGACTGAAGTGCCAACCCCAACCCCATGGTGGTGGCTTCATCGTGCAACTTCAACAACAGCCACGACTGAAGCGCCAACCCCATGGTGGTGGCATCATCATACTACTACCACACCAACCCCACGTTTGACATCAGCCTCACTCCCACCCACCACAACCAAACCGCGGCTGCATACATCTCCAACCACAAAAGACAACCGACCCATGCATGGCACCACGCCTCCTCTCAGTAAACTGCCTTTGCAATTCTCCTTTCTTGGTGAGTCAGGTTTTACTTGTCCTAAATGATTAAATCCATACTCACAGCAAAGCTGTTGCTGCACTGCCTTCAATGGGTGTAGAATGTTATGCACTTCTTGCAACTCAAGTGACAACTTAATGTGCAACGTCCTGTACTAAGAAGAAGGTACATGTTCTAAACCTGTATAAAGACTTTTTAGTTCTTCTGAAAACCCTAACCCTAACCCTATTCCCTCTTAGGTGCCTTACAAACAATGGACGTCCGCTCTCGGGAGCGTCGGAGTGGTGCGGTCACCCTAAGTGACAGACCTAAAGTATCCGGGATTCAGGCATCTTCCCTGGCTTGTACATTTTTGGTGATGCGCCCTGGAGGTATCAGACTATTTTAAACAACTTTTCCCCGCCTTTCAAACACTTATTCCGGGGTTTTAGCCAGTCATTTTGCACGAAATCATTTAACATTGACGGTCTCCTGAAAAAGCACATATTCTGTGCATTTTCAGGAGAGCGTCTATGTTAAATGATTTCGTGCAAAATGACTGTCTAAAACTCTCTTCCAGACATTTAAAAATACTTTCCCCGACCATTTAAACATTATTTCTGGCTTGTAAAGTCCA